TGCTGCGCCTGCCACGAAATCTGCACTTCAAGGTTCACCAAGTGCTGTGCCTGCCACGAAATCTGCGCTTCGAGGTTCACAAAGCGCTGTACCTGTCACGAAATCTGCACTTCGAGGTTCACAAAGTGCTGCGCCTGCCACGAAATCTGCACTTCGAGGTTCACCAAGTGCTGCGCCTGCCACGAAATCTGCAAAGGAGCCACATGGCCAAAAGTCACGATTCACTGCACCTGTCACGAAAACTGAGCTCCTCGACGATCACCACCATGTCCAAAGTGCTGCGCCTGCCACGAAAACTGTACTTCCAAGTAAAGCAGCTCCGATCCCTTGCACCTGTCACGAAAAGTCGGCTTTGAAGCACTAAGGCACGAGGTTTCCCTTGCGCCTGCCACGAAAAATTACCACCATGTGCGAAAATGCGCACGGCGCCACAACGAGAGCGCAGTCGTCAGAAGCACCTGCCGCCGGCCCCCAGATTCTGCGAGCCTGCGCAGTCGAAATGCACTTCCAGGATTTCGAGAGGCATGAATGTACTGTAAATAGCAGCAAATTAGCCGGACACGCCCGCGCGGAACAGCGATCTCAGCACACCTGCTTTTCACTTACCGTAAGAACCCCTCAGCGCCCACAGTGTTTGGGGAACAAAAACAAAAGCGGAATGGCAGTGATATGGCTGGGATGAAAACATGTCAAGTGTACAATGTTTGAAGGAGCAGGGTCAATCTGGAAAGCATTGCTGACGAACTTGAAGCCGCCATTGTCGTCCTGCAAGGTCAACAGCCAAGACATTCAATCTCAACCCTTTCCAACCGTATGCTACTCGCATTTGCTTACCAAAGGGCACAGCAAAGGAACAAGGGCATGGCAGAACATCGTACAAAGTCTTTAGTCTAAATCCTATCTATCAACTTGAGGAAGATGTTGGGAAGATATCATTCAACAAATCCTGAGGATTGAACAACCCTGCAATCTTCTCCCTAAAGTCCTGTTCCCAAAAAGGGACACGCCATGACAAGGAAATGTCTTGCATAGTGGACTCACCCTTGATAACATTTTTAGTTTGGGGCATGGCTTTTCGTCAATAAAAGTTCTTCCTACACCTGACAAAAGGGCACAGCAAAGGAACAAGGGCATGGCAGAAAACATACAAAGTCTTTAGTCTCAAACATCTCTATCAATTTAAGGAAGACTATTGGAAGATATCTTTCAACAAATCCTGAACACTGAGCAACCCTGCAATCTTCTCCCTAAAAGTTCTGAACCCTACCAAGAACAAAACAACTCAAAACAACACAGTGTTTTATCTTGCACGGTGGACTTGCCCTCAATCACGCTTTTAGTTTGGGGCATGGCTTTTCGTCAATCAAAGTTCTTCCTACACCTGACAAAAGGGCACAGCAAAGGAACAAGGGCATGGCAGAAAACATACAAAGTCTTTAGTCCAAATCCTTTCTATCAATTTAGGGAAGATTATTCGAATTCAGAATACATGTTGAACAAATCCTGAGGAATGAACAACCCTGCAATCTTCTCCCAAAAAGTGCTGGGCTGTGTCAAGAACATTAAATGACACGGTATGACAAGGTATTATGTTGCATAGCGGGCTTGCCCACAATCAGCATCGCGTGAACACCCTCAGCCTATATTGTGAACAACAAAAGCTCAATCAAACCATTTCTATCCCTCTGTTTCGCTTGCAGGATTTTTGAACTTGGGGTGGGGAGCGGTCCTGAACGGAGAAGGAGCGTATACCAAAGGAATTCTTAAGATGAGCTGTTTCAGTGTGACTCTTGTCAGTCCTGCTGCAGTTGCCTCACCCAAACGGCTCTGTTCTGGGTTGGAGAGGTTGCACCTCGCAGGGCACGAAGATGACAAGTTGGGTCTACTTTGCAAGGTCTTACTTCAGAACTCCAGAGAAGACTAAACCAAAGAAATCTACAAATCTACAACAATAAAGCACGGTCGTCATCTGGGAATGCTCATTGAATGCGTGCGTCGATGCAAACCCATGCTATTTGAAGAGTAGTGATTTGTTGTTTGTTAGTCAGTTACCGACACACAAGATTTGTGCTATTCAAACTTTGGGAACTATCGGCTTAGAAATGGAATGAAATGGGTAAAGCTGTTTTGCAAAGGATTTTTAAGTTTAGACAACTCGAATACTGTAATGCTCTCTACCCATCCAGCATGAACACCAAGAACCAATACATAGATTTGCAAAGATGTTCACAGATGACAGGTAGGACAAAAACATCCCGCCGGGCTCGTTTCCGCGCGTGCGGTTGAAGACATTTGTCAAATCTTCACGTGGTCAATGATGACGAATGTCCGGTGTGTGACTGTGTTTTGCATTGATGTGAAAGGTTTGTTGCAGCATGTAGTACATGAAAACAACTCAATAACCGTTGCGATTTTGACATCGAAATGCTACGAGGCTGTGGTTTCGTGCCAAAAAAGGGCGCGGTTTTTCATCCTCCAGCATCATCATCACAGTCTGTGGGACAACTTCTGACCCAGCTTCGTCAGAAGATCGTCTTTATTCTGGTGCCAGCGCCATTGCCACTGTCGAATGAACTTCATGACGTTTGGGTTTATACCGTCACCTTCACGTGAACGCAAGCTAGCGGGGACCGACTCCTTACACAAACGCCACATACCATCAATGGCACCTGTGTGGATGAGCAGCTCTCCTGACCTCAAGCATCTGACAATCCCCCGAACGGAAAAACTTCGGAATAAGCAAGCAGTCGGTAACCACCACGCCAGGTTTCCATGCGTCGACGGCTAAAAAAAAGAACTGACACACCCCGACCACCTGTGCGTACCGACCTGTCTGTGTGTGTGTCTGGCTTTATCTTCGTATACACTATGATGCAACGCCTTTAGCCCCCTACCCAACCCCCCCTGTGTTTTGTAGGGTCCTAGGTTTTCCTAGGCATGTCTACGCTATACTATACGTGTGTAGCACCTTTTGTCCGTAGTTACTTGTACATACATTCTCTTCAGTCAGCAGCCGCTTAATTCATTTGGCTCAAGCCCCCCAATACCTGCAGGGTCTTACTTGGTGTTTTCGATCAGGTCCAGTGTACTTCACTGCCACATGCTGCCACTTTGGGGAACCTACCCCTCACCCCCACCCCCTCTTCCACAGCGTGTGCGTGTGTGGCTTCCTAATAAAAATGCACACAACATGAACATCACTAGCCCCCCACCCAACCCCCCCTCCCCCTAACCACCCCGTTTCCCCATCTTCCATATTCCAATGCGTGTGTTTGTGTGTTCTTGCCCCCCCCCAAAGGACTGTATGAAAAATCAGTTTCACTACACGCGCGGTTTTAAGCCCATTAGCAAAAACATGACAATCAAAACGGCAAGAGTTGGAGTCTTCCCGCTTGTGCCAAGGCACGCAGGGCCACTGGCGTTTCGTTGAAGTCCAAATAGTTGCTCATTGCTATTGGCTTCCATCCCCCATAAGCATCTGGTATCGAGCAGCTTGAAAGAAACTTCTCTACACCGACGGCTTCAGGTGGGATGGTTCGACCTTCCAGCAAATAGCCGAGGTATTCACGCGCCTGTTCCTTCGCCCACCTGTATTCTTCTGGCGCTTCTTGTTCTGCAGATACTCGCGATCTCTCACCATTCAGACTACCAATCTTCATCGCTAAGGCTTCTGACTGAGTAACTACAATCAAGTGATGTCCGGACTCGTGGGCTGCTTTCAGCAAAGAAATCCATTCAGTCCTCGACTTATGGAAGTCTTCATCCTCTTCGACGCCGTTATCAAAAACCATGTTCATGCTTACACCAGCTTGCGCGAGGGCTGGAAAAACCATGCGGGCAACGCTAACAACCAAATCGAACCTGGTGACCCTGAAGAATCTCATCATTTCCGCGCGAAAGCCACCATCAAGCAGCACTGAGTAATTCTTGGACACTGTGCCAGCTGGCAGTGCCCTCAATGATGCGATGGACTTGCCCACCCCAGGCTCAGCATGCACAGCCGTGCACCCTGATCGATTGACAGCCAGAACTTTTGTCATCAGCTTCTGGAATGGGGTATCATCTACTACCCTCGTACCCAGATTGGCTTGCCGCTGAGAACTGACCCCCAGACTGAAATTGTTCTGTTGTTGTCTACGGCATGCGCGATCTCTTTGCATAGTTTTTCCACATGCTTCAAGACTTCAGATTCGCTGCTTTTGTCGACCTCGAGCATCAACTCTGCTCCGGGCGTCACTGACGACCACTTTCGAAGCAAATCACCAAACTGCCCCAGTTTGTTTATATTCTCCACCGCTGCAAAGCCAGCGGCGATGGCTGCTGGTATGCTCTCTGCTCCAGGAACGGCGTAGCGCACATGGCTACAACCTGCTGGGTGTGGCGTGTATCGAGCGCCAGGCTGAACAAAACAACGAAGATTGAAGAAATGCGATGTCGCAGTGAGAGTCAAAACCAAGGCAGCCATTGCTCGGCTTCTCGGACGGGACATGGTTCAGACAGATTTCAAAGATCAAACAATCAAAAAAACAAACGGGGCGCTTTCACAGGTTGCGTTGAGCTACTCTGACAGCTAGGACTGAAGCCTGGTTCTTTCGTTTGCTGAATGCCAGTGATATATTTGCTGCGATCATGCTACGGCCAAGGGACAAATGCTGCGCACGAGCAACTGCATGCCACAAGAAAATTAGCCCTCATGCAAGCTATGCTAGTCCCATGTTAAAATGTAACTGACTGCTGTGGCATGTTTGTCCAGCAGTTGGGTTGCAGAGTCAAACACTGAACGGTGCTGGAATATCCAGGTTTCAGAAACACACATGTGACATGTGTTTGTTCCGTGGTGTTTCTCTTCGGTGGGCTGGCATCATTGCACCGCTCACAACAAGCTTGCCGTTCTTGGTGGTTTGTCTGGTTTTATATTTCCGCCGCACATCGTGAGCAGGGTAGTTTGCAAAGGATCTGCGCAAGCAAACATATGCATGCTGTTGTCTTGAGGAACTAGCATGCTTGCCGCATAACAGTATCCTGCTTTATGTCATACTGTATGTTGTTTGAATGTCATGGAACACTGGCTTCACCTTTCCATGAAACTTAGCCCAACACCTTCAGATATAATCGAACTCAATGTCAAAAACTTGTTTGTAGATAAAACAAAGGTGAACATGAATAGAACCCCTCGTTTTTGAACCAGTAGTCAGGAACAGTTCAAGACCATGCCGAAAAACCTTATCTTTCTATATCTTTCTCTGATGAGCTGAACACCTCATCAACTGGTTTTGCTTTGTCGGCGCTTGCGCACTTTCCGTGTCAGCGATTTGGGTTTGAATATTTGGCTTGGGATAAGCATGCAGGGGTTTCGGTAAAAATCTGGTTCCGATTTGGGGAAAAATTGGTTCGGTTGTCGTGGAACTTGGCTCGGGTCTTGGCGAAAAGGGGCTCCGTGTTTGGGAAGAACTGGCTCGATTTTTGGGAAAATCTGACTCGGTTCTTGGGAAAATCTGTCACTGATTTTGGGGAAATCTGCCACCAATTTTGCGAAGCTCCGTTTTTGGCAAAAGCATGTGCCGTTTTTAGAAAAACAGGCTCCGTTTTGGGAAAAACAGCCGGATCTTTGTGGCCATTTTGAAGCCTACATAGCTTAAAACCATCGATATTTACAGGGTTTTGTGCCGGGAAGGCGCACAAAACCATGTAAATACCGTCGTTTTTTGCCATGTTGAAGCCTCCAAAAGCCGAAAAAATACCTTTCCGACACAACCTGTCCTGGTTTAGCCATTTTTCGACCATGTTTGAAGCCTAGACACCTCAAAAACCATCGGTTTTTATGAGTTTTTTTGCCGAAAAGCCACAAAAAACATGTAAATAGCGTGGTTTGAGGCCACTCTTGAAGACTGGAGGAGCTGAACACACTGGTGTTTACGGTGTTTTGTGGCCACTTTGAAGCGTACATAGCTTAAAACATCTTAAAACCATCGATATTTACATGGTTTTGTGGCAGGAAGGCGCACAAAGCCGTGTAAAACCATCATTTTTTGCGATTTAGACGCCAGGCTGAAGACTGCCAACGCCACGCAGCAGCGGTAGGAGTGCAGCGCTCATCAGTGCAGTGTCTCATATGTGAAGCAATTCCGCTCCGAGCTTTCGACGTACGTTTTAAACTTGGTGACACATGAGACGCTTTGTCAAGCCCCTTTCACTCTGACTTTGTCGTTGCAGAGTGTGTAGATCGCTCATTTATTGATTCATCTGAGTAGGCAATTCCTGTGTGGAAAGCTACAGCAAAGGCTAGAAGTACGAGTGAACAGAGCATGAGCGCTCAGAACAGAGTATGAGGGCTCAGCAAGTGATTCTGTCAAACATGTTGATAAACATCAGCAAAGTTGGTGTTCAGCGATCTCTCAAAGGAACCGTCGCATTACCTCCATTGTGCCTGTGCAAGCACAGCCTGATCCTGCAGCACATTGAAACAGTACATGATGAACCGTACATAGTTTGCTACGATCGCCAGCTTGCATGAGCTGCTAACACAACTTCCGTCTTTTGAAGAGAAAGAATGGAATTGAATTATATATGTGAAGTCCAAACTCTGCAAATCTCTGCGACATGCGCACCTTATCTGTGGTGGTGAGATATCATCCCGTTGAGACCAAGAATATCGACATCTTCAGGGACTTCAGGGGTGTTTGTCTTCCCGTCTTGTGATTGAATGTCACAAAAGTTCAAGGAAATCGATTGCTTCTTCTCTTTGTGACATCTGCCAGTTTTGCCCACTCCTGAGGCCATGGCAAAAGGCACGCAGCTACTCTTGAGCCAAAGCGCAGTCCTTTGTCCAAAGCTGCACTCACTGCATTTGACAGCGCAAACAGTGCGTGATCAGCTCCCAAAAGGCTACGTTGGTGAACTCTAAAGCTTCTCCGTGTGGCCATAAGACCGACGCGCTTGGATGTCAAGCTCAGCAAATAAGGCAGAAAGGCAACCAACACTAGTAACACTAGTATTGTCTTACAAGAATAGTGGTTCCAGACACAAACTCAGGATGAAGGAACTCGGGCTGAAAGCAAGGTACATGTTGTTTGAGTCAAAAAAACAACCCATGCTTGGCCCTCACTGTCATTCCTTTTTGTCCAATCAATTGTCTGGCAAATATGGAAACTTTTTGTCCCATTGATCTTTGGCCAGTTCACGACCTGGGGCAAAGGTCTCAAAGCGCCTACTGTAGCCCAACTAGCGATGGCCTCCAACCTAAGCCTTCATTAAGTCCTGGGTATGCGACGGTAAACCTGATACTCTTTCGTTTCCTCCTGGTCGATCTTGTGGAAAACACCCTGAAGCAAGAAAGTCAAGAAACATCAAACCCGACCCTAACCCTCCCTTAGTACAGTGTACCTGCAAAGGGAGGGGACGGAAGCCTGGTCAAAAAATTAATGAGCTCTTCTCACTTCATGGACGTCGCCGAGGATAGCTTTCAATGATGCTGGAAATTACCAGCGCACAGAATCAATCAAAGCTCGATGCAAAACAATAACAATAGCATCGCCCCCATCCACCCAACTGACGTTCATGCGGAAAATGAAGATGCTACGATAGTTCGAGTTTAGAATAGCTTTGGCGTTGCGATGTGCTCCAGTGTAAAAGAAGTGCTCAGACTGTCAAGGGCTTAAGATGGCTCTTGAACCTGACTCGGTGCCCTTATGTGCCCTTACCTCTGTCAGGAGAACGCAGGACACGCGCATATTGCTGAAGCAATACTGCCATGTCACTGTCTTTAAGTTGATGTTTTTTCTCAGGAGATTCCTGTGACTGATTTCCCGTGCCCAGTAAGCCAACACAAAAACGATGTACGCCTCGCCGGGTGCCAGCTTTGTGCAGGGCTTCAGAATCAACAGATCACCGCCTGGAATGCAGAGCTAGAGCTAAGGAAAAATCTCAAGTAGCAGGCTCTTGTGCATTTATGATCAGAATCATAGCCATCTCGTACGCATCTCAGCTTTCATGCTCTTCTTCCAATGTCTTCCAATCACCATACAAATGTTTTTGGTCCTTAAGGATGCTAGAAGGTTGGAGGCCATTTAAGGTACGTTTGGAGCTGCTCAAACCCGAACCTGAGGTCGCAATGCAATCGCTTTCGCCCTTTTGTAGACGGCCATCCTGGTGTGAGGCATCTCTTTGTTCACCTATTAATTCGATACAAAAGGAACGATTCCAGAGTGATTTGATGCAATTCGATGTAATTCGTAATTGTTGCACAGTCTTTAGATTCATTCTATGCTTTAGAATGAACATGTCTCCCTAGTGAATAGTAGCACTCAGAAGTTCCTTTTCTGCTTTCGGTTTACCGAGAAGGCGTCCTCACGGAGGTAGTACTGTTGGTTCAAGTTGCGGCCCATCCTGAGCCGAGCGGAGGCTATTTGGGCTCTGCTCCACTCACTAACAGCACCCCAAACAACGAGAAATTTCACGAGGTCGATCCCAGGTTTTTCAGCAGTCGTTTGTCAATCTTTTCATTGTGCCGAAAGGAACACTGAGCACTATCAGAACAAAAACGTACGAGAAAAAAACACTATCTAGAGCACGAAAAAAACCACGAGAAAAGACATGATCTCATATTCGGTGCCGCCAAGCTAGGGACCAAACACGTCACAGGCATATAGATGAATTCCATTCTGACAGATTTCAAGCACAAATCCAGGTTCCAATCCAGCAAAGTAATGTAACATGTCCAAAGCCAACATGGCCACACCATTGAGCATCGTTGCGAATTCATGGCCGTCTGCCAATTGAAACCACACCTTGCCTTGTCAAAGAAGTCGAAGCAGTTGTTAGTACCTCAAGTATGTCAGCTAGGCTTTCGAAACATTGGCAGTTTCACAATGGCATGTGAAATTCAGCAGCTCTCAACATCGGTTCTCTGAAGGAAGGTTGCATATTGCTGCTGAGGTGCGGTGAACACGAAACCCAGAACAGCACTTGTCCGTTTGCCTGTTGGTCATTGCTAGACTTGGTGAGATTCTCAACCACCAGAAGTCTCAGAAGGTTTCCTTGTGAAAAGAAGTATACAGTATATAATAGTAATAGTGTATATATATATGTGTGAACTGTGATGAGCACATGGTCGGACGCCATGTCTAGCGGAACCTTTAGGCTGGAGCGTAGAAAGGCGCCGCTGCGATGCCCCTGGTGGGGCGACCGCACCGACATTGGTAGCGGAGCCCCACCAGGGGCTCGCAGTGAGTGTCACTGGGTAGTAGTGCACCCGCTGCCATGAGTGAAGACAAGGGTCATCGCCGCTTTGACGGTGAGGGCGATGACCCGGGTAAGGCGTTGAAAAAGTGGAAGACATGGGCCCAGGCCAAACTGGTTACGTTGAAAGACATCAAACCTGAACAAAGGGGGCCATGGATCCTGACGCTTCTAGATGGTCGTGCCTGGGATGCTTGTGAGCACCTGACCTTAGATGACCTTGCAGTGTCAGGTGGTGACAAAAAGATCTGGGAAGTGTTGCAGAAACGATTTCCAGAAAAAGAGGCCCATG